GATAATATCGTTTCTTAAAAAAAAAAAAAACAAAAAAAAAACAACTTTTACTTGGAGTTGAGGCCCCCAACCATGGGGAAACCGCCTCCAACTACATATGTCTCTTGATAGTGTAGCTAATTCTTGTTGATACAATTTGTGGAATAAAAAATAATCCCAAAAATTCAGAACGGGACATGTGGACTGAAACTCGAGAAAGACAAGATTGCGCTCATTAAATGGGCAGAGCTCTCAAGTATTCCGGCGTGCAGCTAAACATCCCTGTAAGTTCAATCAGCGAACTACGACTCAAAGCTCCCCTATTTGTGGCATGGAAAAAAAAATCAAAGGCAATAAAGATAGAATTAATTATCAAATCCTATCTTTAATACAATCCTAATTGAAGATCAACCATATCAAGTAAGGAATTCTTATCACAATCAATTATGGATATTCCTATCATCATTCCAAGATATTAACAAGATATTATCTCCTAATTAATATCTTGGAAGCATCATTTCCTTGCGCATCCTACGGATGGCATAACTTGGCCAATAGGAAGCCGTCATGTGTAGGGCAAATCCCTACACCATGACCGGCCACCATCTCTTATAAATACCCTCATCACCTCTAAATTTCGTTAAACTTTTGAAATGCATACAAGCCCTAAAAAATCATTCTTTTCAAAGACACTAACTTAAGCATCGGAGATCCATTTGCTGAACACCCCCCCCCCATTCCCCACCTCGTGGGCGCATAAGCCTTAGGTCTTTGATCAAAAGTGTTGATTGTTTTGTAGGTACAAGTTGGTCAAAACAGAAGGCAATGAATTTCTGTTACCACACAATTCTTCCACACTTAAATGAGTTTCTATACATGTGTTTAATTGAATGTGGGATTAGTAATATAATTTCATATATGGATACACGATTTAATGCATGACCATGGATTAAGTCATGCCATAGAATGAACAAATTTTTTCAAATACAGAACGGCCTTTAACATTTACATAGCAATTAAATAATAATCGACCTCGCGCTTGGCCTTAACGTACTATTGTTGATCTTGTGCAGTTGTAAATATTTAATTGTCTTTGGTTTTATCTATATTGTAGGTACTCTGAGCTCACATAAGTAAACATTCGTCCAAAAACAATTTTACTAACGGCTTGTAACATAAGTAAATATGTAATTTTCTTTTTCTTGTATTTGAATTCTACCACATGACAATCATAATTCTCATTCTAGTAATTGCATCCCCAGTCACCAAATTGTGGCACTCCCACCCACCATTTCTCTACATATTTCACCAAGAGTGTGTAATTATGATTTTCATCCCCACTATGCCCTGGGCCCTTATTTTCATCTCCATGCATCTTAAAAAATAAGCTTTTATTTCATTCCCTCTAGAAGTTCCATGGATATGCCACCTTTCAAATTACCATCAATTTCCATAATCAAAATCATCCGTAGGCATATAGTTTGAAACTCCATACCAAGTCAAATTATCGTCCTGTTCAACTTTCTAATCCCCAACTAACTGACAATATTTTCTGCAGAAATTCCATTCGCAGAAATTATTTAAACTTCCCCTCATTTCTGTACTTTTAAGAGCCTCCTATTTTTCATTACACCAACCTAACTTACAAACTACATCAAACCTATCCCCTCCTCTCACGCTCAAGCAAAACACAACTCCATTTTTCTCTCTGTTTTCTTTAGTTGATGACCGCTGCCATTCCGCTTAAGTCCACATTTCAGCTCTCTTTGGTCTCCACATAATTCCTTTCTGAACCCATTTCACTAAAACAAGTCAGTCAAACTATACATCTTTCTCAATAGAACTCTAAAACGCCAATGCAACAACACATGCAAAAACTAGCTTTATATTCAAGCCTATTCCATACACTTCGCATATTACCAGAGGTATCAACGTCCAAAATTCCACTTGTTACAAACCTTTCAAATTTCAAACACACACACATACATACTTTATATATATATATATATATATATATATATATATATAAGTCATGCTCCGGACTCAGATTGATATAGAAAACTCAAACCCAAATCCGAAACACGAGCTAAAAATTAAATAAATAAAAATAAACTAAAACCTGATGAAAATAAATTCCTCTTGGACAAAGAAACTCAAGAATTCTTTACAAGGCTACAAAAAATGAAAATTATACTTATGGTGATGTCACATCTAATTCAATCTCATTCCGCATACTTTCTTGACTATTTAGTTCCAAAACTTGCATAACAATGAAGGCGTGAACTTCAACAACTCACTACGGACATAAACTTAACACAGTATATTAATCAAACTAGATTAGGTGTCATGGCATCATACACAATCAAGTATCAAATCATTATTGATAACAATGCATGAATGCAATGTAAAGCACTTTAACTATACATGTTAATTCGCATAATAAAATACACAGACCTCGTATGTCCCATTCCGTACTTATACCACTTGGTCTCGAGTGCTAAATTATACAAACTTTCTACCAATCCCGAGCCAGGGTGGTGACACCTAACTAGGTCAACCGACCCGGTGATTGTGCCTAATCAAAACTAGTGGAACCAACAATGCCTGCGGGTGTGAGACCCTCTGCAGCAACCTCAACAGAAGAGCCCAACAACTATATATGACGTGGCTCGATAACAACCGTCGAATTTTAGAATGTTTGATGATATGGACCGTTGGATCTCCAACAATTAAAAAAATAAAAAGATTCTTACTGTTGATCCATGTGGCGCTTTCTAGTACGTCAGATTCAACACTAAAAAAAAATCAATTTGTCAGGATTAATTGGACGTCAAAAATGAAAAAAGGGAAATAAAATTAATTAATTTTTATTCTATAAAAACCCAACCATGTTCTTGATTTCTACACTGCACCACAACTCAATATTATTTTTGTTACAATCTCCTATATTTGTTTTCCACTTTCCTACAAACTCCTAGGTTGAATAAGGATATGTGGCATGATGTGAATGGTCAAGTATCTTATAAAAAATATGAGCAGATAATATTATGGATAATGACATGTGGCACGACGAAAATGATTTAAAATCTTTTAAAAAATTGAAGATGACAATGACACATAAAGGAGAAAGCCAACAAAGCAGAATACACACACATATATGTAAATTATGTAATTGCCCCTGGCAATGGCAACATATGGAGTTTTTTTTAGTACAACGATATAGTTTACACCAAAAGGAAGAGGAGTTCAGCTAAGCCACACAATTGACAATCTAATTTGGTGTCGAATTCATTATCCACAAGATTCGTACCTAAGACCTCTCACTTATAAGTGAAGATGAATACCATCAGACTGTAGTACTGAATGACACAATAAATGAAGTTATACAAATGCATTTTACTTTTCAGAGAGAAAAGTAACTGACTTTGGACTTTTTCTTACCCTCAGCCCTTCCTCAGCAGGATCTTAGGCGATTATCCAGGCGTGTCTATAGAGAAAGGGATTGGTTAATTTGGTGGCTGCATGACACATGTAAAATCTCCTTCAGTCATAGAAGCTTTCTCAAATTTTAGTCAGTCAAGTGTTATGCCAACAATTGTTTAAAGATTAGATTAATTTTTCTTCAAAACCTACAACTAGCATACGGAACAAAACGATCAAATGGAAGTCACCAAGGGGCAATAATCACGGACCAATTTGGCGTTGAGTACTTTACATTGAGTACTTTACATGTGGGGTAATTTGGCGTTGGGCTTTACAGGTGGACCAATTTATTCTAACATCCCAAAGAAATATGACTATAAAATGAAGCAATATGAAAAGTAATTTAACTTCTTATAAACCATACAAGGTTTTGTTATTCGTCGATATGAGACTTTGGCTTTCACACCTTCACATAATGTTCCAATAACTTGTTTTTTCCCATTAATTTTCTTATTAAAATATGTCAATAATTTTTGAAAATGGTACATAAAAGTATTCTTATAACATCCCTCAAATCTAGAAAACCAAATAAAATAATAAAACTAAAAAACACATCCCTAGTCTAATTTGGTAAACTAGGCAGTCAGAAATTCCACACATTTCCTAGTCAGATCTGCACCAAATCAGGCTTAAGAAGTGGTGTTGGAAAAATGAAAACATCCCCTTCAACTTTGTAGAATTAACTTTCCTAAACAAACATCATTTTCAATGACTTGTGACCAAAACGTCAATCTGGCAGCACAATCCTCTTCACTCATTGATTAATCAGTTTCAATTGGAATCACTTCAAAATTACATCATTTCACCACTTTTTAAGCAAACTAGATTCCAATTGGAATCAGTTCCAATTTAAGAAAAAATATATATATTTTTCTTAATGGGTCATAGCGGGTCGGGTCACTTTACCTGTTGGCTAAAGTGACCAGACATGTTAAGGACCTGTTAAGATAATGGGTATGACACGACACGATTCGTTAAGATAACAAGTGTTACACGAAAACGACATGAACATGACAGACACGACCCGTTTGACAGGCCTACTTTTTACCCCTAAGTTGTGCGCAATGTCCTACTTCCTTCCTTCCCTTCTTCGTTTTGGCAGCCTTCCCCTTCATTGCTTTCATTCTTCGTATTTTCTCCCCCGCACCGTCTCACTTTCGGAGTCTGGAAGACTCACTCACGATTCAGCAGCTGTTCAGCCTGACTCGTGCCTCATCCCAGTCTCACTCAGTCCATCCTCGACGTCGACCACTCGCCCACCTCACACTCACCCTCACGACCCACAAGCTTCCTCTCGTCGTTTCGAGTCTCGACAGCCCACCTTGATTCCTCGATTCCAAAAGGTTAGTCTTTTTGCTGGATTAAAATTTGGGTCCACAACTATAGTTGGTCTTTCTGCTGATTAAATTTGAATTCACAACTGTGTTTTTGTATGATGTATTTTTCCGATTAGGGATTTGGATTGGAAACCTTTTATAGGATCAGACATGGTAAAAGGGAGATTGTAAGAAAGTAAATGTAGGAAATGGAAAAGAAAATCAAAGGAAATTCATATCTTCATTCATAGTCTCTTTTCATTATAAAAAGGGTTTAAATACACCCAAAGATAGCTAGGGTTTAGATATAAATGGGCCTAATGATATCACAAATTTAATAGGCCTAATAGCTAATAACAACAATAGCTGGTCTAATTGATCTAATAGAAGGCCCAATAACTTAGAGTCGCATCAATTCTAGCCCCTTAAGATGAGGCTTGTCCTCAAGCCTCTCAAACCGAGAAAGAAGCATGCAGCAGTCTGGAAAGAGGCCAGCCAATTTGTCAAACGGTGTACCATACTCATATTCAGTATTAGCTTCTGTATGGGCTTTAAATCACGAACCATGTTCTTCCAAAACATCTTCGGTGTGTTCACCCAAAAAACAAATATCAGTAACTCAGATCCTGCCAAAATGAAATCAGGCAGTCTTGCCAAATACTTTGAGATGGAATAAAATAGTTGAAGCACACTGATCTTGACAACACTCAACACGAGAACAATCAGCCTTATTGCATCACCAACCACCAACTCGTGTGGTAGATAGATTGAATTAAAGATGGCAAGAAATAGGGTATGTTGTACCAATAGCACCCATTTCATAGCAAGCAGCATCTCCAGTGAATGGTCAAGCAAAATACAGGTTTCTTCATCATATTCGAAAGCCTCTGAATCATGCTCTGGAAATAGGTTGGAGGCCCAAAAATAGTATGGAAAATACCTTGTCGCGAAGCCATTGAATACCTCAAGATTAGTGAGTGAAGGCCAATTGTTGTTCAGCAATACACCAAAAGAATTCGAAGAGATCTCAGCTGGCACACTTCTATTTGGCACACCACCAAATATGTTTGTCATCTGGTACACTACGGAACAAACGGGTCTAATCCCAGCTGTAAGTGACATCTCACTCTTGAAGAACCATATTACAGGGGACTCATTACTCTGGAATATGTAGAGGTGAAAAAGCGAATCAGGTAATCATTTCTCTTCCACTCTGTCTTGTTTGAACCCCGAACACTTCGTGAAAGTGAGGGTTGTATTCCTTCCCCATAAAGAATATGGATCATGTTCACACGAACTAGAGCAGTGAAATGATTCCAACCAATTATAGTAAATCCCTTGAACACAGAAAACCAAATTGCAGAATCTAGTGCTGCTCTCATATTTGCCAAGGTAACTCTCCATATACCATGGTGATGAAAATGATCAACTAGAACAAAATTACTGCGCAAAACTTCATTCCATATGTGTAGTGATAAGAACACTATAGCTTCCCCAACCCATGTGGCAACATGCAAAACATTCCCATTCAACCAATTATGCATGCAATTAATATCGGTAGCAGGAAACTGATTGCTCTTCCCCAAATAGATATGTTCGGATTCAAGCATATGAAAGTGTGAAACCAAACAAAGAACAAGTATAAATACTGGAGGTAGAACCTGAGCAGGAGGCAATGAGGTAGTTGGATCTGGAAAGTACCTCTCCATTAAACGAATATGAGTCGTATGAGCCATAAACAAGGCTGCCATGAGGTCGACATTGTATTTAGCATTGAAGTGGCACCATGATACATACTCATCACCATCAAAATGCTTGCCAAAATCAGTTATTATACCAATGCTGTCAATATAGAAGGCAAGAACCACATGGATTTGATTTGCATAAGCAAGATAGGAAGCTACCAATGGACTCATGTACTTAGAAATAACCTCTATAACTTGCAAAAGCCTCTGTGAAGCTGATAGAAATGCCTTGCTCAGCACACCATGGTAATGCATGCCATCTAGTAAAAATCGAGCAGTAGGTTGGGTTACCCAAGTTAGCAAAATGTTCTCAAATGTCTCCAGTTGGAATGGGTTCGAATTTATAGTGAAAAGACCATCCAATGGCTCTGTACCCACTGCTAGAGAAAAGGGCATAGAAAGAAACTTCTGAAAATAACAAGAATATTTTTCCTTGACAAGTTTTGAAGCTACGAAAATAGGTAACCCAAAACTTGTTAATGACACTGGCAGCACATATGCATTAGCATCATCTAAGAACTCAACAAGGGATATTTCAGAACTGAAGGTAAACCCTTGTTTGCCGGACAGTACAAATTCCTCGAAGTCATCATGGTCTAACCTCATCCACTTGGAACGGAATGAGAAAACTAATGCAAAAGCTGCACAGCTTAATTTGCAAAATGCATGCCCCAGATCCCATACAAGCTGAAATTCAAGTAGAATAGTTAAAAGGGAGAGAAAGCTAGATGTAGACCAATAGTCAAGGTATCCAAATTGCACAGCTTTGGTTGAGATGCAAAATTGCAACAAAGTAGTGGCTCAAACATTTCATCAAACAGTTCTGCTGCAGTCAATTCCATCTTCACGAATTTGCCAACAAGATACAAAATAACCCACCCATATTTATCATTCAAGAATGCACTATATTTAGGCCCTTGAATTTGCTGAACTATGACTCAGATAAGGGAATACCTCAGGTCCACTGTTTTTTATATGAGTTAGTGGTTGCTTATGTAGGTGTATATACTTCCATTTGAAGCTTTGGTGATCTCCATACCACTCCTGTTGACGATATCATCCTGATCTTCAGGTTGCAAGTGGCCTGCAACTTTGGCTTCAGAGTTTTCGGGAAGAATATCCACACCAGCTGGTTCGAAATTTGGAGATGAAATTATGGCTACAGCCGAAACGGTTGAGTGTGGATTGACAAGCAGAGTTGCCATTGCTGTCAACAAGGGTGAAGACGAGAGTAACGGTGGAACGTGATGGTCTTGGAGCTTCGATGGTGGAGATGATCGAATTTGCAACGGAAGACGTGGCGGGGGTTGAAGAGAGCTCATGGACAGAGGACTTGCGGGTGAATAACCAAATTCTGGCGAAGGGTCAGGAGAGCGCTCTGAGCGAGGAGCAATCTCTACTGACTCAAAATGCGAAGTGGTGGTCAGTGGCGCCAGGAATGAGAACAGCGGTGGTACCGTGGTCATGGTGGTTTGAATCATGTCTTGGCAAACACCCAGAGAAGACGCGGATTCCGTAACACTCGTAACTTGCTTGCCCAGTCCGTCACGGTGAAGAACAGGTGCGAGCACTACCATTGTGAACTCTAGAACGGTGGGTGTGGACTTCGTCGTCCCCAGTAAGTCCGGATCTAGAATGTTCATGGTCGAATTTGGAGGGACCCTCGCCAATCGAAGCAGCCGAAGCTCCTCCATAAGAGCTTCCCGTAAGGTAGCTTGTTGGTTATTGAGTGTTGTCATTGTCTTCCGGAATTCAGACATGTGGAACTGGAATTCCTCCACCATGGTAGTGGAATTTGCCGATGCCCTTGGTGGAGTAGGAGCTAACAACGAAATCAAGCGATTCCGGTATCGTCGTCGGCAAAGGCTCCCAGACGGAGGCTTCCTCTTCGTCCGCACGAGGGAAACCACAGCAGGATTTCGCCCGATTTAAGTGACGGCTGCTTAGAAGTGTGGCGAATTCCTCTGACCATGCTGAAGACATTTCCTGTTGCAGGAGCTGTGTGAACTGTCGAATCGAGACCTGATGGGGGTCATTAAATCGTAGACGGTTCTCGAAATCGAAAACCCACAAATTCTGTTCGTACGACGATGGAGAGTAAATTTGGGGATCGTGAAAATTAGGGTTTGTGGCATAGGAATGAGGGATTTGAGGGACGTCTATGGAGTCCGAATACACAATGGAAGGTGGTGCGAGGTGCGGAAGGAAAATGGGACTGGTATATGAAGGAGCTACGGGAAGCTCAGGCACATACGAGGCTGGGTAATCTGGCGGTCGATAGTAACAACTGGAGTAGGGAAATGTGGGCTTATACTCGTATGGAATCTGGTAGTGATGGGGAGGAGGATGAGATGGTGGAGGCGGATTTGGATGTTCATACTGAGAAACATTGGTTTCTGGATTCCATGAGAAGACCAGACCACTGGACTCATCCATCACACTTCTTCACGGTGCCAGAAGTGTGGGATCAACGAAGGCAAACCACAGATCCACGGTGGATCTCTGGCTTTGGTGCCAATTGATAGGATCAAACATGGTAAAAGGGAAATTGCAAAAAAGTAAATGCAGGAAATGGAAAAGGAAATCAAGGAAATTCACATTTTCATTCATAAAATGGACTTAAATACACCTAGAGATAGCTAGGATTTGGGATATAAATGAGTCTAATAATAACATATGTAATGAGCCTAATAGCTAATAACAACAATAGCTAATCTAATAACAACAATAGCTGATCAAAAGTTATCTTGCACAAAACAAGGTGCCAAATTCTACCACATAATGTTAGTTCATACACATACAGGGCTTGTAACTCAGTTAGTAAAAAGCTCCAAAAGCTGTAGTCCCAAATTTGATTCCTTTATAGTCCCAAATCCGATTCCCCTTTCCAATATCATTTGTATTAAAAGAAAGAAAAAAAAGGTTGGTTCATACATAACAATCAATTCATTATTGTTCATAAAAAAGGGGAACTTATGTATTATGCAATTGAAGGAGAGGGGTTTTGAACTTGGGTCATCTTCCTGAATTGTAATCAAAGAATGATTTTGTATTAGTTAGCGAATCCAAGGCCGTAGTCCCCATGAATTGGATACTAAAATGACATGGTCATAAACCTATCAACACCAAAAGTCAAAAAGAGAAGAAAAACTCCAAACTCACGGTCCAACCAATTGCGAGAGAATCAATAGATTCCTTTTCTCAACCTAACGTAGCGGTAACAGCCTTAAGTTTCTTGTTTATATGCAACGAAACTAATTGCGATAGAGAACTTCTACTTTTCTCTTGCTGGACTTATGTAATAATCCACACACTCATCCATATTTGTGAACTTCTGGATAAAACTATTAAAAATGTAATTCTCAACAATTATGTGATATATCAAAATTTGTGGTTCTCAATGGTATGACTGTGCGGAACTGTAAACTCAGAGAAACAAATGCATAGATGTAGGAAAAGATTTATACAATCTTAAGAAGTGTAGAAAGAGGAGTAATTATGCACGTATAGTGAACTGTATTGAAATGAATGAATTCTAAGTCAAAGAATACAAACTTTATTTTGGTGGCAGCAGGGGTGGATTTGGAAATGACTGGGGATCTTTTCTTTCTCAGGCATCGATTGGGATGTTGTCAATATCTGATGCATTTTCTCCTGGAGTCTTGGCACTTAGAGCTGTTAGGTTTCTTTTTAGTTGTAACAACTTTTGTTTACAGAAACTCATGATCGCTCCATCTATATATTTTTTATATTGCTTTGAAATCGGACAAGTTAAGGGTTTTCACAGAACTCCATCTCCTGAAATTTCAGAACTAACAGTTAAGGTACGAACTACTCGGTAAGTTTATTCTTAATTTAGATAATGTGAGCACTACTGCAAATAACAACATGCAAAATTCCAAGGGTAGGGCAACTAATAAGCGATATAATTTTGATGCACAAAATAACATATGTAATGGGCCTAATAGAAGCCCAATAGCTTATCTGTCATTTCTGCTTTTACAGTCTTGTTTCTCTATTTGTAAATATGAATTCATCACACAAAAACACAAAAAGGTTTTGTTATTTCCCATTTATTTTCTTGTTAAAATATGTCAATAATATGAAAGGTTTTGTTATTCTCCTGTGGGACTTTCGCCTTCACCTCTTCACATGTACCAATGACTTGGCTTTTTCCCATTAATTGTCTTGTTAAATATGTCAATAATTTTGAAAAATGATACATAAAAGTACTCTTACAAAGTTATAATATCCTTCACGTGAAAATGTTTTCTGTAAGAATAAAATGTGTATTGTCCTTGCACGGCAAAAGAAAAATTAAGTCACAATGAGCATGAAAACTATTGGAGAGAATTTATAAGATAGATATTTATATTAACGATAACATTATTATTTCATTAATGATATAACACAAGTTTTAGGGCTAACGACATCGGTGTTTTCTGTTTCTGCACTTCAAGTCCACCAGCCCTTTTGCATTTGTTGCCTATTGCACAACTGATGTATTCAGTTTACAAATTGTTGCTACAAAACCAGTTCCCTTCTAATTCACGATTCTCATTCATTCCCTCCGATGATTGGAACAAAATGTTGAACAAATTTCGTAGCTCTGGTTTTAGAATTTTAGACAATTCTTGCTATACACATTACTCTTAAATATGTAACTGTTGTACAAGTATTCTTAGTTACTAAGTCATAGGAAAGTTTCGATTTCATTTGATTGAAAAGATTGTCTCCAATTAATCGAATGAATAAGAATCCTTCCAAACGAACGTAGCTGCTTTCATTCTAATTTCAGAAAATCCAAATCCATGAAAACGTGCAGCACTCTACTATCTTTATTTACATTACTTTCTATCTCCATTTAATTGTTAAAGAAACTCGATGGTACAAGCAAACTGATATAACTTAAAAACAAATATATAGGGCTGAGTCTTGAACTTGAACAACACAATCAACTAAAAGCTAAAAAGCACCAATACATTCTATCTTCTTTTTATAAAAGAAACCTCGACAGCACGAGGGAAAATTTATTGAATAAAAAAAAGAAGTTACACATAGTCAGGGGGGACATAAACCTTACCCCTCAAAATAAAAAGAAAGAAAAGAAACCGAAATTACAAGAAAATAGGAGGGACATACACTTACATAACCTGATACAAACTTATAACTAAACATATAGAAAGTGAAGGAAAGAAACCACAACAGAGAAAACAAACGACAACAAGAAATGCGTAACGGTAACAAACTGAATTTCTACGTCCCTACTAGTACTCTAAATTTTCGTTATCATTTGCCTTATCATTCCAACGATCTTAAGAAACAAGTCAGGCCTCTTTGTGATCACAACATCTGAAAGAACTACTCCCACTACCAACCCACTTCCACATCCGGCCAAAACAATTTTCCAATCAAATTCAAATATGCCTTCTGAGCTAGAATCACCTTCGTCGACGGTTGAAGGTGGAAGTTCAGGAGGATTTCCACATTTCTTTGGCAATGGATCTCCACACAACCCTGAGTTTCCCTCGTATGAAGTGACGTTCATGGAAGTAAGCTGGGTTCCTTGTGGTATAGGACCTGTGAGATAGTTGTGAGACACATTGAAACTGGAAAGAAAATTAAGTTGCACCAGCTGTTGGGGGATACGTCCTGAGAGCTTGTTTTGTGAAAGGTCCAACGATTCAAGCTTCATCAAGTTTCCAAAGGATGAAGGGATAGAACCAGTGAGAATGTTGTGGGATAGATTCAGCGAACGAAGCTCCTTAAGATTCCCAATGAATTCTGGAATTTTCCCTTCAAATTTGTTGCTTGAGATATCAAAATGTGCAAATTCTTCTCGGATCTTTGGGTAGTATTGCTCCAAACCTTTTGTTGCTATCATGAGTTGGTAATCAACACTATTCCAAACCGGGAATCCATTGACATCATAACCTATGCGTGTGTACATATATGCTGACGACTTGTTTATAGTAATATCTGGAAACATAGATGGAACCGCACCAGTAAAATCATTGTAAGCCAAATCAAGAATGCGTAACTTGGGGAAATTGACATTCTTTCTAGATTTCCCAATCACACCGTAAAATCCATTATGGCGCATTGCCAAAAGTTTTAACTCTAGAAGAGTCCCCAACCAAATGGGAAAAACATCATTGAAACGATTGTTTGACAAAACAAGATACTGAAGCATCACACAATTGGCCAATGACCTCGGCAACTGCCCCTGCAACTTGTTATGACTCACATCAATCATTCTCAAACTGCTTCCTTTGTTGTATGTCTGAGGAATAATTCCGTGAAAACAGTTGTTTCCGAGAAGTAGAAGAATCAGATGATCACTAAAGTTTCCGAGACACTGAGGAAGCATGCCACCCAAATTATTTTTCGACAAGTCAAGGGACAGAAGATTTTTCATATTGCAAAGCAACGGTGAGATTTCTCCAGTAAAGTTGTTGTCTGCAGCTGCATATTCTAGCACGGTTGGTGGAGGTATCGGTAGTGATCCATGAAACATGTTGGACGAAAACCTTAAACCTAGCAGTTTCACCCAAGGAAGGACGAGTGGAGGTTGGTCTGAAATGAAGTTATTAGAAATGTCTAAAAATAGCAAAGTTTCTAAGCTTGTATTCCACATCCATTTTGGTACTTGGCCTCGGATTTTGTTTCCAGCAAGTACCAAACGCGTCAACCCCTTCTGATATTGTAAGAAGGATGGAAACTCTCCTAAGCTGCAATAACTCAATCCAAGAACGCTGAACTGTTTAACCGTTGAATTCAAAATTTTGGATTCAGTGACAAGTTCTAAACCGTTCCGGCTTAATTCGAGTTGGTAAAGAGATTGTAGATTTTGAAACATTTGAAACTCTACTGCACCAGTCAGAGTATTCGAATGTAGATGCAGGATCTGAAGGTTTGTGAGATTTGAAAATGACGCTGGAACTGAACCGTTTAATCTATTGAAAGCAAAATCTAGGTACTCTAGTTTGCTAAAGTTGCCTAGCCAAGATGGGATTGGACCAGTTAAAAAACTTGTACTAATCCTAAAAGTAGCCAGTTGGGTAAGGTTTGCCAAGGAATCAGGAATTAGACCTCCAAATTTATTGGCTGAAATGTCTAGATAAGTGAGCTGCCTAAGATTCCCAAGAAAAGATGGAACCAACCCTTCCGAAAAATTGCATCGAGCCATATCGAAGTATTGCAGTGAATGAAGGTTTTGAATTGAAGAGGGTATTGTTCCAAAAAAGCCAGTAAAGCCGACTTTCAGTAAGATGAGAGGACTGCTTTGATTAAATTCAGGAAAATATCCAGTCAATTCTTGGTTGTATACACTAAGAAATTCTAGGTTTGGTAGTTGGAAAATTCTCACGGGAAATTCACCAAACAGGTGACAGCCTGTGAGGTCGAGGGCTGTCAATGATGATAAATTAGCCACTGAATGAGGAATTGCCGACGATATGTTTACGAAACTGAGAGAAAGTACTTCAAGACTAGTTAAGTTTTGAACTAGGCTTCCAAGATCTGATGCTTCAAGTTTCAAAAATGGACGATACTCATCTTTTGACAAATAATCTACATTGCCAGATAGATCAAGGTATGTCAACTTGGATAACAGTGAAAGTTCAGAAGGGACTTGACCAGAAAAGACAGAGGAAGAGAGGTCAAGATGAGTAAGGCTTGGAAAATTCCTAATGCTAGTAGGAATTTGAGAGTAATTGAAGTTATTGTCAGAGAGTTTTAACCTTTGAAGATGAACAAGGCGGAAGAGGCTGCTATTGCTGTTGATAGAGCCGTGGAGACAGCTGCTACCAAGATCTAGGCCAATCACATGACCCGTCTTCTCATCACACTCGACACCTTCCCATGAGCAGCACGTGCTATTTCCTCCTTCAGCTGGTTTCCATGATGAAACCTTTGGATAAGCATCGGTAGATCTAGAAGCAGATTTGTCAATAGTAAAGCTGTCTTTGAATTGCAGCAGGGCGGACTTCTCCCCATCAGGGCAAGATGGATACTGCTTCTGCGAAGAGTAGGAAGAGGTAGCAATAACCACATGATGAAACAACAACAAAACTAGTACTAGTTTTGAAACCATGCGAATGATGGAGATATCAAGTAACACCATAACAACAATCGTTTGATTTTTTTTTTTGTTTTTTCTTTTTTTGCACTCTTAGCTATGTATGGAGTGCAAAGTGACACAACTATTTATAGACTGACATCAGTATAAAATTCTTCCGCAATATAATTTCTAAAACATGATAGAGACATTGTAACAAAATTTCTCATTAACTCAAGAGTGCAACTAGTTTGACGAGTGTTGCAGTTAGAAAAATTCAACTTGTGTTTTGGTTTTGGTCTATGTTGCATTTTTTAAAGTGAAAGTACTTTTCTCATCAGAAAGGAAATATCTCATTAACTCAAGAGCAAGCAAGGAAGAGAGAATACTTCGACTTGGAGTTGAGGCCCTAACCATGGGGAAACGTCCTCCAACTACATGTCTCTAGGAAGTGTAGCTGATTCTTGTTGATACAATTCTTCTACACTTAATGAATTTCTATATATGTGTGTAATTGTATGTCGGATTTAGAATTTAATTTCATATAAGAATACACGGCTTAACGTCTGACCATGGATTAAGTCATACCATAGAAAGAACAATTTTCTTTTTAAATAAAGAATGACCTTTAACATTGGCATAGCAATTGAATAATAATCAACCTCACGCTTGCCCTTAATATACTGGTGTTGATCTAGTGCAGTTGCAGATACTTAATTGTGTTTAGTTTTATCTATTTTGTAGGCTCTTCGAGCTCACATAAGTAAACATTAGTCCAAAGATTGTTACTTAAGTAGTTAAGAGCATTCAGTTATGCACTTGAGATATAGGATTCATTCCACCCGTCCCAATGTCAATCATATGACTAAATATATAAGTGCTTGTTTGGATGTGCTTTTAAAATAACTGAAAGCGCTTTTGGTGAAAATATTTTTGGAACCAATCCTTAGAAAAAATGCAAGTAAATTCTGGAAAAGCACTTAAAGTGCTTCCCGGAAGAAGCACATACAGGAAGCACTTTAAGCGCTTTTGGGACCAAAAAAATATTTGCTCTAAAAGCGCTTTCAGTCATTTTAAAAGCACATCCAAATGAGTCCTAAATAAATAAAAAATTGACCAGTTCCATATGATCTTTAATATTATGCATCATGTTTTGAAACATTTATTTAAAGCTAAATTGGATTAATAGTCCCCGTGATGATAGGCAATTGAAAGATAACACATGTGCTAAAAAAATTAGGATTAGAAGTCTGTTAGGATTTTATCCCGAAATTAAAAATTTCGTCAATTTTTCGTTAATTGTTAGCACATGAGTCTCACATGTGAGACTAAAATGATAAAGTTAGCCTCACATGTAAACCTCAAGTGCTAACGATTAATGGAGAGTTCCGTTTCATCCTAATATGTGTGGCTCATGTGCTAATAATTAATAGAGGGTTGACGGAATTTTTCAGTTTTTGGCATAAATCATAATAGACTTCACCATAGATGTTTAAATTCTATTTTTTTTGCAAGGGCTATTTTTCAACTACCCTGTCACCATAAAAACTAATAATTCAGGCCTTTACTTAAAAACTCCATATTGACTATCCTGTGTTCTAAAGTCAAGTCAAGAAGTCTTGATCAATAAGGACACGCATAACATATTAATTCGCAATAAATTTCATCTTTGACGCGAGGCCGGCTTTTTTCGCCGGATCACCGATGTCTTCTTGTCCCGTTGTATATGCTTTACCCGCAAGGGGTGGTTGTTCTTCAATTTTTTTCAGATTTTGAATTTGTGGTTGAAGTTGGAGTAGTGGTTTTGGGAAAGCAAAGGTGGGTTGGGGCCGGAGTGGAGTCGAAGGGGGGATTTCATGTTGTGGTTTTGTTTCTTTTTCTATATATTTAAAAAAAAAATTATTGCTTAAGTAACTAGTGTTAGTGCAATGCCACAAATATTAGGGGTCTTTGTGAAAACTCGGCAAACCTCAAGGGAGTTAGTGTAATTTTCTTTGACCAAATGATATTATCTAAATCAAAGAGATGGGGAAGTGGACTAAACCTCATAATGAGTTTGCAATTATATGGTTTAAATTCGCATTTGGCGAGAACCGAACCTAAGACCTTTCACTTACAAATAAAGAGGAATATCACTAAACAGTAGTACTAAGTGAATAGTGTAAATAACCCATCAATGAAGTGTGAGGTTTTGAATTTAATACCTATTCCAATTTTTTTTTTTTTTCAAATCACTAGACTAAGAGAATCTATCACTTTTGAAATTAGACTATTAGTGGAATTTCGAGAGGCTCGTGGCGATGGTTATTTTCACAAATATAATGTCTGAAGGTAACTAAGTTGTTTATAAAATCATTAATTTTGTGGTTCTCAAACCAAAACTATGATTATTTGCTGGACATGTTTTCTCAAAATTGTGTATTTTTTTACCTCAGATGAAGGGACAATCCACGTGTCCCATGCATGCCAGTTTAGAGCTTTAGTTTGGTGTGGGAACAGGAGCAACAATGTATATAAACGGAAAAGGATCCTCGCCGAATCCTTTTGGACCTTAGGGATCCTGTGATCGTGACCGTTCATCTTATATTGCATGGTTATAAATTATTTCAAAATTTAAAATTTAAAATTAAATATAAATAATACCTAACGAAAATTGATCACACAATATATAATGAACGGTTAGGATCATGAAATCACTAACATTCCTAAAAAAAAATCCGGCGATGATCTTTTTTCTGTTTAAACGGATGGCATCATTTTACGCCGATGCTTATTCTAGTCCAATCAGCTAGGTGTCACTTTACTTAGTAGCTGGGTGTCACTTTACTTAGTTTCACGTCAATCTACATGTGTTTACATATTTCGTCATGATCTTTTGTTTTCTAGTTCATAGAATAGTCATCCAGGTTGGACTACACATAAATAATTTGTATTGTTTTTTTTTATATAATTTTGAGACTATTTAAATACTAGAAAATGTTAAAATCCTTCATCTTCGATCAGCTGGGTGTCGCTTTGATTAGTTTTACATCAATCTATATGCACGGCCGGCCTTCAACGTAATCGAAGTAGGCATCCGCTTAGGACCTTCACTTTGGAGAGGTCCCAATTTTTTTTTAAAACATGTAATATTTAAATAATACATTTATATCTTTCTATTTTGATATTAATTTTTAATGATATTTGATGTAAAAATACACTCTTTCATTTATTCAGTAATTTCATTTTTATACATATCAATGTACAAAAGGTGGGGGTTAGAGAACTTTCAGGCTCCACTTCTTAGGACTCTCAAATTTTGAGGGCCGACCCTGTCAATATGTGTTTACATATTTCGTCATGGTCTTTTGTTTTCTAGTTCACAGAATAGTTATCCAAGTTGGACTACACATAAACAATTTGTATTACTTTATATATTCGAGACTGTTTACTTCGTCTTCGAAGACATCATAAAACTTATGTTGAGCCAGTCTTGATTCAGATTTGATTTCTTAAATGAAAAAATTGACCAGTTCCATCTGTTCTTGCATCATGTTCTGAAACATGTAGACCGTCCATAAAAATTGAAAAATCAATTGATTGGAGAGCTCCAAGGCTTGTGACCTAGTGTTAAAATCTCCAGGTTGACTGTCCTGTCTTACAAAGTCAAGTCAAGAAGTCTTGATAAAGACATGCAGCAACATATTGAGAGATTTTTTAATGTGTCAAAAACACGATACGGTACACCAAGTGTGATAATACTGTTAGAATATGAGTATGAAATTAAATATTTTAGTTGGTTGTAGTGTTTCAATTGAAATAGAAATGTCTTGCTAGAAAACTTAAAACTATCCTAATTTTTGTGGGATTGTAATTCAGATATGACTAGAAAGTTATGCCCGCACGTTACTGCGGGATTAAAAATTGTAAGAAAGATTATTTTTGAAGATGCTCTTGACTAGAGATGGGTGTAACGGGGACAAGTGCATCGTAACTTCTACATGCGTAAAAGATGCTCTTGACTAATTGATTCGTGAGTCAATTTTTGAAGTCAAATCTTCAACTTTTGAGATGGCGTGAAATTAGAAGTTAGACAAATGAGCAACACCATAAAAGAAAAACTAAATAATTTTTGCATACACACGTATAGTTTATCTCATGAGTTCCTTCTATAAGGGTTTATGATATTTGTATTGACACTCTTATAAGGTTTTATCATATTTGTATGCCCAATTGCAAGACTTATCAACTTTGTATTTGGGTACTTCTAAATGTGTTGGATCTTCATGCTTGAATCATTAAAATATGTGTAATTTGTATTAGAATACAAAATTAAACAAAAAAACAAAAACAAAACAAAATGTTAACAGGTGAAATTGGTGACCCATTAGCTTAACGGGTTAAGTTTGAGTAACCCGTTAGCTCAACGGGATGGGTGTGTGACCCGTTAGCTTAACGAATTAGATGAAACCCTACCCAAACCCAATAAACCCAACCACCCGTTTACAGGCCTAGACTCAAAACACTAGATAGTGAAGGTAATGAAAGTTTCAGACTCTCAGCAGCAAATTAAGGCATTAGAGTCATCAATTTCAATCCCTGTATTGGCTTGAAGTGGGGTGGATTTGAAGCTAGAAATTTTGATTCGATACCCAATTTCTTCAACATTAGGACTTTCAAACTCCTAACATATATTAAGTCAAGAGTGCATGTGTAACGAAATTTCTCATTAACTGAAGAGTGCAACTATTCTCATGTTAGATTTTAACCGGTGTTGCAGTTTGAAAATTTCAACTTGTGCCTTGGTTTTGGTCTATGTTGCATTTTTCAAACTGCAAGTCCTTTTCTTCGGAAAAGAAATATCTCATTAACTCAAGGGAAAGCAAGGAAGAGAGAATTAATAGTTCGACTTGGAGTTGCCAGTTAACAAGTCTAGTGGTATTCCTCTTTACTTTTAAGTGAGATGTCTTGGGTTTGATTCTCTCCAAAGACGAATTTGAACCACATTATTACTAGCCCATTGTGAGGTTTAGCCTACTTCCCCACCCTTTTAGTGTATATAATATTGTTTCTTCAAAAAAAATAAAAAATAAAAAACCTTTGACTTGGAGTGGACGCCCCAACCATGGGGAAACTGCCTCCAACTACATATGTCTCTAGGTAGTGTAGCTGATTCTTGTTGATACAATTTGTGGAATAAAAAATAATCCCAAAAATTCTTAAGGGGACATGTGGACTTTTACTTTAGAAAGACAAGATTGCTCTCATTAAATAGGCAGAGCTCTCAAGTATTCCCATGTGCAGCTGAGCATCCCTGAAAGTTCAAGCAGCGGACACGACTACTCAAAGCTCCCCTACTCGTGGCATGGAAAAAATCAAAGGC